TACCCAAGATCGGGAAAGGGCATGTCACCGTTGGAGGTATCAAGATTGAGTTTCACAAGTGATGATGATTGATCGACCTTGACAAGTTTGAATCAAACTCTGAACGTGCTTGTTTCGTTGATGACCATGAGCGTTAGCTGATTCAAGTAATATTAATCAAGGTTTCAATCACTTAGAAAAATGCTACTATCTAGATATACCCTATGATATGAACAATTTTATTAGGAAAAACTTCAAAAAAAAACTCCTATCACTTTCTTCGTAATCATTTATCCCTTTCCTAAAATTTTGAATCATTTATCCCCTAATTTAAAGCTTTTTTATCATTTATCTTCTTAAATGAGGGGGTAAGTGATAATGAAACTTTAAGTCAATGGATAAATGATAAAAAAAATCTAAATAAAAGTGTAAATAATTCAAAAAAATTGTGAGGGAGTAAGTGATAATTAAGAAAACTCGTAGGGAGATTTTTGAAGTTTTCCCTTTTTTTTATTGAGTGTGATTTTGTACAAGTTTCAATAATAAAGAATGTGTTTAAATTATGAGAAAATATTTTCTCTTTTTAAAGGAGAAATTTTTTCTCCTACTAATAACTCATAGTATAAATGGGATCTACAAAATAGAGAAGAGAAAAAAAAATTCAAGATGACACTCACTTATGCTAGGAGTCACTGGTAGTAGAAAATTTTTCTCCTTTTTCCCTTATTATTAGCTGAGAATGTGGGTAAGATTTCATTCAATAAATAAAAAGGTGTTGCAAAGAAAGTGTAAAAAATGTTTTTACAGCATTTCTTTAGTCACTTAATTAACGACCTTGTAGAGCAGTACTGGCACTTATTTTGGAGGTATTTAAATCAACTGTCCTTTTCCTATATTGCTTATTGTTTCCTTTTAATTAAGTAATGACATTTTCATAAATAATTTATTTTTTATTAAATAATATAACACTTTTTCGTTTAGTTATCATTATTTTTTTGGTTGAGTTGTTATCATTCAATTGAAAAGATAAAAATAAAAATAAGACTACATACTTAATTTTACCTAGGAGACAAGCTAGGTTGTGATGATTAAGCTGCCAGTTATATCGTTTCAATTTGATACTTTTTTTTTTTTGTTAATAGAAGTTTCAATTTGATACTTAAATCATAATAGAGTCTCCTATTTTTTAATAAAAATGGTATTTATATAATTTTCCTTGTAAATAATTCTCTGTTTAGTTAGTAATTTCAAGACTAAGTACATTATATATTCTTTTTCGAAAGCAAGTATGAAATTATTTCGTTCAAAGTTTTTATGGGTTTGAGCGATAATAACCAGCACTTTGATTTATTTTTTTTGTTAAGATAAAAAAACATTATAGATAGTAAATAAAAAATATTTATATTTTTATATATGTCTTTATATTTTAACATACATGACAGTTTTATTTTTTATATTTTCTGTAAATTATTAAATGAGTTATTAATAATTGTAATTTTTAAAAGCAAAAATCAGATACAAAAGCAGAAAATCACCCCTGTAATACTTTAAAATAGATATTAAATTATTTTTTTAAATATTTTGGAAAAATATTATGAACTTGAGATCATTATGTATTTTGAAAAAAAAATTAATATTTGATAAAAACATAATTATTTAAATATAGTTATCTTGTTTACCAAATATATATATATATATAGTTAACTTTACTTATTTATATATATATATATATATATATATATATATATAGTTAACTTTACTTAATTTTATATATATATATAGTTAACTTTACTTAATTTTTTTTTTTTTTTTTTTTTGATAACAACTTAATTTTATTTTTACCATTGGTTCTATTTGAAATAATAGTTTTTATTGATTTATAGAACTTGTATTGACTAATTTGTATAGGAAGCTCTCTTCAATTTACCGGACGAATTCAAAATATATTTTTATAGTTTGAAAATTATAAATGATAGATGCTAGTAGCCTGCGGCATGGGTCTCACCCTAATACACGCCTAACCAGTAATTCCTCCCGAGAATATGATAGATGCTAGAAGCCCAGGTCTCTAATACACGCCTAACCAAAAGTATTAAGAGGGGACATTTGGTAGAGAAAAAAAAAATTATTATCCGGAAATCACGGATTTTAAGAATATGATCGGAAAATGAGTTTTTCGAGAATGTTACCAAAAAGTTATTTAGTAGGCTAAAATATTTCTGGAAATATTGGGATAATTTTCTTGATACTATATTTGATTGTATTAAAAAATTTCTTATCATAGAAATCCTAGAATACCATCCCGTGGGTGGTATTCTTGAATGGTATTTTAAAAAAAATTACACATAAAATAAAATGCCATCAATTCTTTCTAAATTAATTAGGGCTCAATTCCTTGTTACCCCAAATCTTTGTGATCTTAGAAGAACCCTAGTTCCCTGGTTATTCCCCAAGAAAACATGAATTAAGATCAAGAATTCAAAGATTGCACAATTATCCTATGTCTATCCCTAGATCACAAGGATTATGATGAATTTATCAAAATCAGGGTTCATGCACTAACATTTCTATTGTCATACAATTCTACTAAATCAATCTATAAGGAGTAAACTCATAGAAAGCATTAAAGACAGAAAAATTCATTCAATTATAAAAAGAGAAGAATTTAGAGACAATTTAATTCATAACATACAAGATTCAATTGGGTTCCATCTACCCCTAACTACATAAAAACTTAGCCTAGCATATTGAATTCAAAAATAATTGGAAAGAAAATAATTTCCCAAGACTCCATTGATGTGATGTTGTATTGAATCTTCAGTGTTCCACAACAGGATTCCTCCTCTTGATTCTTCAAACGTTCTCTAAAGCTCTCCAAACTCTCTTTCAGTTGATCCCTAGGCCTTTTACTTATAGAGAAGAACATCTCTTTTAATTTTCATTCAAATCTTCTTGAAATCTTCGTTCGTATCTTAAATTGGACCCTGATGATAATTGGGCCTGAGCTTTGACGTATCAACGCGTTTTAGCTCTCCTCAAAGCGCTTAAGCGCGCTGAATAGGATAATTATATCTGCCTTGGAGCGTTTTAACACTCATCAGGGCGCTAAAACGCTCTCTTCGATAGTAACTTTAGTTGTTGCTAGCGTGTTTTGGCGCTCTGTAGCACGTTAAAGCGCACTCTTCCAGTGAATTTTTGCTATTTTTCTTCATTAGCGCTTTTTAACGCGCTGTTGGATGCTAAAACGCTCTCCATCAGCTTGTGAATTGCTTTCTTTGGACTTTCTTTGGTATTCAAATATCTCTTTTCGTTCCTTTGCTCCTTTAAGCATTCTTTCATGTCAAAATACCTTTGAAATAAGCAAGATTACAACATGTTAGCTAGAAATCCAATCTTAGTGATTTTATAATGTAAAACCCTAATTTCCATGCAAGTCACTATGTAATTCTTATACAAATTAATATAAAAACATGGTAAACCAATGATTTATCATTAACTTAATGATAGACCGAAAAATATATATATAAAAAAAGGGTTCAGAAGTCATTGCTGTTCATGAAAAATTATGAACTTAATAGCTAGTTATTACTCTTCGTGGAGGCGCATGTGACCATGTTATAACAAAGAGGTATGGTCCGAAGTCATATATGTAGTTTTCTTTTCTGACATCCTATCATTAATTAGAAAAGGAGATGAAGAACTCAGAAGTTCCTCTATCATGTTTGGATTCAGTTACACTTCCCCTCTCTATTCTTTATATGATTTAATATAGGAAAAACTATTTTTCATTTTAAATGACATAAAGTTATGTCATTTTAAGATAAAGATAGACATAAAGTAATATTTTTTATTTAAAATTTAAATTAAAAAAAATCACCTACTTTCTTTTTCATGATTTTTATTTCTTGTGTCTATCTCTCTCCTAAAATAATATAACTTATGTCATTTAAAATGACAAACATCAAACCCTTTAACATAAAAGATATTATCTTGATGATACTTTGATTTTCATCTTTACAGTATCTACCTAAAATTTCTAACAATTTTTTGCCATCTCAAATATAATTAACTTGTTCTAGTTATGTTCTTATTTTTTTAATTAGGTAATAGTACTGGTTCGGTAGATCTAATTTTCAATCAACAACGTAACTCGTTAAAAAGGCAGGAAAAAACCAAAGGCAAAGCCTCAAAACATTAGAGACAACAACAGAGACCTCAATTAACTTGTCATCTCATATTAATTAACGTTAACAAAATAGATAATTGAGATTTGGTATAACTAATCCAAATCAGCACTTTATAATATTGAAATACAAAAATAAGTTAAAATCCTCGGTTTACATGCACATTGCACAATCACAGAAAAAAAATATATCTTCAAATCGATAATTTTTTTAAAGAGAAACTTGATGACAATGAAGGAAGTAATAAAATGATAAATTAAAAAAAAATAAGGGATTTAAGAAAAGGGAGAAATTATTTTGAAATTATTTTCAATTTACATAGTATATATAGGAGTTGGAACTAATTGCTTGATTAATTTAGAGTGGTGTAAACGAAATATAAACAAAACTGGTTCAAAAGATATAAAAAAAACCTATGAATTGAAAACGAATTTTTTTATTGTCTAAACAAAGTAGTGTAAAATTATTGTAACATAATGGCATACAATTAGCATTATTCTATAGTAAGGCTTGCCATAAACTATTCCCAATTGACCAGTGGTTATTGTTTAATCGTCCCGATGATTATCTGTATTTGGACTTCAACGTTTGGGAAGATTTAGTGACTCGCACGGCAATGGAACCTAGTTTAGATTAAGATATATATACATTATTAATACACCCAAGATTTCACTAGACCCACGTGATGACCAATGCCAACGTTAATCTTTAATATTTTTTTATTGAAGAGAATGGAAATACGTTAATCTTCCCAACTTCATTATAAAACGGGAGGAAAATCACCAAGTTTTAAGCACAGTTGCATACAATTGCAGCAAAATGAACCGATCGATATCCATGTCAAGTCCATACCCTCCACCCCCTTCCATCACGGCCAATAATGCTGCCTCCGGAACCCTCCTTTCTACCCTTTCTTTCAATCCCTTGTTCAGAAACCACAAGTCCAAGGCTTCAAAAATTGCAAAACCAAGCCAATACTACAACGTTTCAAGAGTACAACTACTTTCATGCAAAGCCACAAAGGGTGGTGCTACTGACCCAGAAAACCATCCAATAGGAAACAAAGACAAAGACAAAGACAGCAAAGAAGCCATTAACCTTGAAATGTTTGATAGAAGAAACATCCTCATTGGTCTAGGAGGCCTTTATGGTGCAGCAGCAGCTACCCTTAGCAATGATTCATTGTCCCTTGCGGCTCCTCTCTCTTCTCCTGAGATAACAAAGTGTGGTCCTCCTGACCTACCCTCCGGAGCCAAACCAACCAATTGTTGTCCCCCAATTTCCTCAAACATCATAGATTTCACTTTTCCAATGAATCCCAAAGTTAAGGTTAGACCCGCTGCTCATTTGGTGGATGCTACTTATCTACAAAATTACCAAGAAGCCATTCGTCGCATGAAGGCTCTCCCTGCTGACGATCCACGAAACTTCACACAACAAGCTAACATCCATTGTGCTTATTGCGATGGTGCATATCACCAAGTTGGGTTTCCTGACCTTGACTTTCAAGTTCACAATTCATGGATCTTCTTCCCTTTCCACCGTTGGTACCTTTATTTCCATGAGAAAATCTTGGGGAGCTTGATCAAAGACCTTGACCCAAATTTTGCTCTCCCATATTGGAATTGGGATTCACCCAATGGCATGCCAATCCCTTCCATGTACGCAGATCCTAACTCACCACTTTATGACTCTCTCCGAAGCGCGAATCATCAACCTCCTACACTTGTTGACCTTAACTATAATGGCAGCGAAGACCAGAACACCCCTGAAGAACAAGCATCAGCAAATCTCAACTCAATGTATAGACAACTAGTGTCAAATTCAAAGACTCCTTCACTCTTCTTTGGAAGTGCTTATCGTGCTGGAGAAGATAGTGATCCGGGTGCTGGCTCTGTGGAGAACATTCCTCATGGTCCTGTTCATGTATGGACTGGTGATAATACCCAACCTAATGCAGAGGACATGGGGAGTCTCTATTCTGCAGCTAGAGACCCTATTTTCTTTGCTCACCATTGTAACGTGGATAGAATGTGGACCATATGGAAAACTTTAGGTGGAAAAAGAAATGATATTGCGGACCCTGATTGGTTAGAATCTGGGTTTATTTTCTATGATGAGAATAAGAACCTTGTTCGAGTGAAGGTGAAGGATTGTCTTGATACTACAAAGCTTGGTTATGTTTATCAAAATGTTGATATTCCATGGTTACAAGCTAAGCCTTCACCGAGTAAAGGTAGGATTAGAAGAGCGCTTGCAAAGACTTTTGGTGTTGGTGCAGCACATGCAGGTGAGACTTCAAAAGAAACCAAATTTCCCGTGGTTTTGGATTCAACTGTGAGTGCTGTTGTGAAGAGGCAGAGGAAGAGCAGGAGCAAGGAGGAAAAGGATGAAGAAGAGGAGGTGTTAGTGATAGAAGGGATTGAGTTTGAGAGAGATTTGGGTGTGAAGTTTGATGTATATATTAATGAAGAAAATGACGTGCCTGGTGGGCCAACTAAAACTGAGTTTGCAGGAAGCTTTGTGAGTGTGCCCCATAAGCACAAGCATAAACAGACCAAGATGAACACTAACTTGAGGCTTGGGATAACAGAGTTGTTGGAAGATTTGGGTGCTGAAGATGATGACCATTTGTTGGTGACTTTGGTACCCAAGATCGGGAAAGGGCATGTCACCGTTGGAGGTATCAAGATAGAGTTTCACAAGTGATGATGATGATTCGACCTTGACAAGTTTGAATCAAACTTTGAACGTGCTTGTTTCGGTTGTTGACCGCGAGCGTTGGCTGATTCAAGTAATATTCATATTCAAGGTTTCAATCAGTTAGAAAAATGCTAGTATCTAGATATACCCTATGATATGAACATTTTTATTATTGAGTGTGATTTTGTAGTAGCTAGTTTCATTAATAAAGAATGTGTTTAAATTATTAGGTGAGAATCTGCATGCGTAAGATTTCATTCAATAATAAAAAGGTGTTGCAAAGAGAGTGTAAAAAATGTTTTTACTGCATTTCTTTAGTCACTTAATTAACGACCTTGTTGTACTGGCACTTATTTTGGAGGGATTTAAATCAACTGTCCTTTTCATAGTGCTTATTGTTTATTTTTATTTTTTTTTGTAATAATAGTGCTTATTGTTTCCTTTTAATTAAGTAATGACAATTTCATAAATAATTTCTTTTTTTATTAAATAATATAACACTTTTTCGTTTAGTTATCATTATTTTTTTGGTTGAGTTGTTATCATTCAATTGAAAAGATAGAAATAAAAAAAAATAAAATAAGACTACGTACATATTTAGTTTTACCTAGGAGACAAGCTAGGGTTGTGATGATGATTAAGGTGCCGGTTATATCGTTTCAATTTGATACTTTTTTTTAATAGAATTTTCAATTTGATACTTAAATCATAATAGAGTCTCCTGCTTTGTAATAAAAATGGTATTTATATAATTTTCCTTGTATGTAATAATTCTCTGTTTAGTTAGTAATTTCAAGACTAAGTACATTATATATTCTTTTTCAAAAACATGAAATTATTTCGTTCAAAGTTTTTATGGGTTTGAGTGATATAATAACCAGCACTTTGATTTATTTTCTTTTGCTAAGATAAAAATACATAATAATAAAGAGTACATAAAAAATATTTATATTTTTTTTATGTATGTCTTTATATTTTAACATACATGACAGTTTTATTTTTTATATTTTCTGCAAATTATTAAATGAGTTATTAATAATTGTAATTTTTAAAAGCAAAAAGCAGATACAAAAGTAGAAAATCACCCCGGTAATACTATAAAATAGATATTCAATAAATTTTTTGAATGTAAATATGAACTTGAGATCATTATGTATTTTGAAAAAAAAAATTAATATTTCATAAAAACATAATTATTTAAATATAGTTAACTTGTTTACCATATATATATATATATATATATATATATATATATATATATATATATATATATATATATATATATATATATGGGGTGCGGATCCATTTACAATTTTTTTTTACAAATTATACTAAGTATGATCGGTCATACTTATTGTAGTTTGTAAGAGTTTGTAAGCAAAAAGTTTGTAAATATATTATATAACCTTCTCCATATATATATATATATATATATAGTTAACTTTACTTAATTTTATTTTTACCTTTGGTTCTATTTGAAATAATAGTTTTTATGGGTTTATAGAACTTGTATGGACTAATTTGTATAGGAAGCTCTCTTCAATTTACCGGACGAATTCAAAATATATTTTTATAGTTTGAAAATTATAAACGAGTCTTAAAATAATTTCAAAGCCTTTTTTTTTAAGGAAAATCATACTCTAATGTTGTATAATTGATCTCTCATGTTGCACTCATATCAAAATAGGGTTATATTACTCTCATGTAATAGGAGATATATTATCTTATGTTGTAGATACAATCATGTAGTGGGTCTCATTATTTATTAAAAAAGAAAAAAGAGAAGCACAAAAATCGATGGGTGTGTAGGAAGTTATATTATCTCATGCAACATGAGAGTAATATAACCCATCAAAATATGTGCTCTCTTTTTTCTTTTTATAAAATAATTGATAGGTCTCACTTTGTTTGTCTCTTAACATGAGAGCAATATTATTAAAATCGGCCCAATCATTGACCCGGTCAACGTACGGGGTCACGGGATCACTGGTTCAATCGCATGACTCGGTAATTATATGCAAGTTTATAATTTATATTAAAAAATTTTAAACATACTCAAATATCTAAAAAAATAATAATTTTTTTAAATATTTTAATATAAAAAATAATAAATCACATATTATTATCCAATAAAGGATCAAACAAAAATATAATGATTGTGATACGGAGCTTTAGGTTCAGAAAACGACATTTTTTTTTTGGAATACAGAAAGCGACATCTCTAACTATAAATCAAATCAATTTTTTTTGGATAGTGCATAATTGAGATAATATTAGTGTTGTAGGTACATGACTTATGTAACACAATAAGCAAAAAATTATTCAAATATGTCCATTATGATTTTCTTTGCAAAAATAAATAATTTGATATTTTTTTTGGGACCGGGTCGGGTCACCGGTTAACCGACCGGGTCACTGGTTTTCATGAAAATCAGCCGAGTCAGACCGGGTCACACCGGTTCTGATATATGGCTGGTCCGTTGCTTCAACCGGACTGGTTATATGATCGGTTACCGATTCCCGGATCGACCCGGCCGGATCGATCCGGTTTTAATAACACTGCATGAGAGAACTTCTTTCCTACTACATAAGTAATCTCTTTTTTTAATGATGTATAATCTTATTTATTATTCTGTCTCCTTACACATACTACTAGAAAAAGCTTTTGAGATTATGAGATTAATTTTAGAATAAATATAAGGAATTAGTAATCAATTTAACCTAAGTAATAATTCAACTAAATTTATACCAAAAAATATAATTTCCATTGAAACCTCTTGTACGTGCTATTTCGTTGATTATAAAAAGGGCTTTACTTCTCTCATGTTGTGAGATAAATAAAATGCGGCCCATCAATTATTTCGTTGATTATAAAAAGGGCTTTACTTCTCTCATGTTGTGAGATAAATAAAATGCGGCCCATCAATTTAAAAAAGAAAAGAAAAAGAGAAATCACATCTTTTTATGTGAGTGTAACATGAGAGATGAATCTCATGTAACATAAGAATATATTTTTTTTTATAAAAATGATGAATTTGAAACTATGACCAAGGAGCAGAGCATTTCACTATGGTCGTGTCATTCAATGTTGATGACATTATTATAATTATAAATATTATTATAATTGTTAATTAAAGAGAAAGTGGGTAATTTTTAAATGTTATTTTAATGGTGCTTTGCGTGTAAAGAATGAGATTTGGAGGCGGGCATCGTCATCTCCAATGTGCAGCCATGTGATTTATTTTCCTTCCAATAATTAGGCATTATCTCAGGCTTGAGTTGAAGTAAACAGAACACCATTTTTTTCCATCGTCTTCCCATTCTACTCTTCTTTTATCTTCGCTTCTTCAGCTGATGGCTGCCTTTTCCTAAATATTGTATGTGTATTTGGATTAAAGCTTGTAACTTTGATTTCGAATAAATTTGATTACTGGGTTTTGATGAAAATTAAATTTAGAGTAAATTAATTTATGTTTCAAAATATCTAAATAAAAACAACTTTGATATAATAATATTATTTAAATAGTAGTTATTAAAACTTCTTCTACCGAGATAATTTCTTGACGGTATAAGTTTCATACTGCATTACCTATTATGCTTTTATTTTATTCCTATATATTTGAGATATACTTTAAAAAATAGTAAAAAATTTTGTTTTGAACTTTTCGTTTCCTTATTAAATTTAAAAATGCATAATATTATTACGTCTCAAATACATAGTAATGCAATGTACTTTAAGAATACAACAATTACTATAACCATCCTCCATGTTACCTGCCTGATATTTAGGGTGCGAACTGACCGGGTGTATTTATTTATGGTCAAACTTATAAAAATAATCTACAATAAGTGATAAACAAAGTTCAGATGCAACCTACTTGCATGGGTAAAGCTTAACCTAATGCAACCTACTTGCAACCATTTTCAACGAGGACCAAATATATTCTCATCACATAAATTATTTTCATTTATTCTCGAAACAATATTGTTTTGGTATTAAAATCTTAAAAAATTATAAATATAAAGATTATTATAATTTTAAAATAAATTAAAATTACAAAAATACTATAATTTCTGTCCTAAAATGATATCGTACTAAACTTACTTTAAATATAACCTATGACCGAAGAAAAAACGAACTCAATATATAAAGCAAAAACTTCCAATGAGATCCAAGCAAGAAAAAATTAAAAAGTAAACGCAAATTAGTAGATGTTGAAAGTTCCCGTTGGAAGAATCAAATTTATGCTGCACGTGTCTCCAGGGAAGCCAACTCAAATGCAAGTTTGGGACTCTGTTTTGAGCTCACATCCCAAGATGCAACTAAATAAATATGTCTGATAATATTTTTAATTTTTTTCATTTAAAGAATGAAAATAATTATAAATTATATTTGACAAAACTATTTTATTTCTCTGTTTCATAGAATAAAACATTCATTATTTCATGAACGAAAAAAAAATTAAATTTTTTTAACCTCTTCATTTTAGCCACTAAAATAGAAAAAATAAATATTTTTCTTTAAAGATAAGACAAATAATAAAATAATAATTATGCAGATCATGAGAAACATGGCCAAAACCCAACTTTTGCATTTGAAATAAAAATTATAACTCAAATATTTTCTTAATTGCATATTCAAAATTGATTTTCATCAAAATATTTACATAATATCTATTTTGTCAAAACTTGTAAATGTATATAAATTTATTTTTGACTAAAATTAATTTTATTTAAAATGAAGTTCTCATGTTATATAAACTTAAACTCATGTAAGATAGGCGATTCCCGTGTCCTCAAAATTAAGAGTACTATACATACAGCTACTAAGAGAAGTGTAGAAGCTAGCATAGCTTGCCAAAGGGCCTCAGGGCTATATATACGTGGAATGCAAGCCTTTGTATGATGGGCTTACTGTTGTTTTGTAGAGCCCAAATCATGGGCTTAGATTGCTTTATGGAGTGGGTTACAAGTCATTGACCTGCTTTTATAACTTCTGAATTTTATTTAGAAAATAAATGGGTAATGCTATATTGACTTTATCTTTACCTTTAGGTAATATAACATAAAGTATAATTAACTCATTTATATGATAATTACATAATTTAAGCACTATAATTATCATATAATTGAGTTAATTATACTTTATCACATCCGTTAAGGATTATCTCTTTAAAGATACTGTGGTTATTCTCCAAAATAAATATCATAAAAAGATAAGATAGAAGTCAATTCGTTGGTGAAGCTTACCGCACCGGGAGACGAGAGTGATCATGGTGGTGGGACTCTTAAGATCGTTCGTCATGGACCTGTCCATATATGAACTGCTGATGTAATACCCAACCTAACAGTGAGAACATGGGGAGTTTCTATTAACCTAGCAAAGACTCCATTTTCTTTTCTCAGCGTTCAAATTAATCTGGAAGAAGAAGATGAGCATGTGATAGGACTAGTTTGGTACCCAAGTTTGGGTAAGGTCATGTCACCATTATTAAGATGGAGCTTTCAGGAGCATGTACAGCAGCAGAGAATAGAAGCTTCCCATGTCCTCAAAGTTAGGAGAAAATGTACATTGCTAAGAAATAAAGATAGCTGCTAGTTGGTGGTAATTGAATGCTACTTCGACATATATAGACTACAGAAGCTTGATCATAAAGTATGGGAAAATTCTACTCAGCAGTACAAAAGTACTGCACTGGCTAGTAAGAGTACAATAGTACAAAAGTGGTAGGTATTGTACTGCACAGGAATAGTTTTTTTATTTTCCTAAAGAGGTTTTTCTATAAACATATTAATGTGTAGTAAACTAATAAGATATTTCCACTATTAATATATTAATGTGTCTATTCTTTACTTAGTGTACCTAAATTAGATGCATTAACTTTATAAAAGAATCTCCGTTATATTTTGGTAAATACTTTTAGTTGCTCCAAAATTTTATTAGGTACAGGATTCGGCTATTTGACCATTTTGTTCATTATTAATTAATTAATAATTATTTTGTTTCGTACTCAGAATTTTTTAATCGATTAACTTGAAGATTTAATCGATTAAATAGTTAAAACTGAAAAAAAAAATAGTTTACTTGAAGATTTAATCGATTAAATCTTCAAATTAATCGATTAAATCTCCCTTTTAATTTATTTAATCGATTAAAACTTGTATTTAATCAATTAAATATCTCAAATGAGCGTGAAAGCATTGATACCAACTCGTAAAATGGCAACTCTTAATAAAACGCAATCAGCTCTTATTAAATACAAAACACAATCAACTCCTATAATTAAATACAGGACACAATCACCTCCTATTATTAAATACAAAACACAATCACCTCCTATTAAATACAAAACGCAATCAGTTCCTATTAAATACAAAACGCAATCAGTTCCTATTAAATACAAAACGCAATAAGTTCCTATCAAATCGCAACAGGCAACAAACTTGAATTTAACCTTCAAATAACATTAATACACGGAAAACTGATTGAACATTCTGCTAAGTACTACATTAAATTCAAGATTCACAATCAACTCCTTTTGTTTATGGAGGAGATTTGACCTTTGTTGCCTGTTGCAATTTGATATGAGCTGATTGCGTTTTGTATTTAATAATAAGAGTTGATTGTGTTTGTATTTAATAAGAGTTGATTGCGTTTTATTAAGAGTTGTCATTTTACGAGTTGTTATCAATACTTTCACGCTCATTTGGGATATTTAATCGATTAAATATAAGTTTTAATCGATCAAATAAATTAAGAGAGAGATTTAATCGATTAACTTGAAGATTTAATCGATTAAATCTTCAAGTCAACCATTTTTTTCCAGTTTTAACTATTTAATCGATTAAATCTTCAATTTAATCGATTAAAGAGTGACAGATTGATATATAGTTCTGAGTAAGAGGCAAAATGATTATTAATTAATTAATAAGGGACAAAAGGGTCAAAAAGCATACAGGATTCTATATACTTTTTTTAAAAAAAAAAGAAAAAAACATATCAGGATATGAAATCATATCCTCATATTGCTGCAGAATTTTTTTTTTTTTCAATAACAGGAGAGCTATAAAACCCTTGGTAAATATGCATAAATACTTTTATTGTTTGAGCGTAAGTGAAATAACAAAGGTCTATTTACAAAAAAATAAAAATAAATAACAAAGGTCTGGTCAAATGGGGTAAATAATTATATCATAAAAAAGTTAAATAATTCTGAAATTTAATTTACCCATATATCTATATTCTTTATGTAAAACCTCCTTGAGCATTACAAGCAACTAGTTGAGAAGTAATGATATTATTTAACACTACGTTATAAATTATGTCGTCTTCAGTCATCCACGACCCAGAAATATCATTTTATGTTACTTCACACATTTTAAATTGCAAGTAATTTATTTTTACAAATAATTTTCACAACCTTACATATATCAAATAATTTTTAAGTATTAATAATCAATTATGTTCAATTAAAAATTACTCATTCAAAGTGATAGAAATGTTGAATGTTAAGGAATAATATAAAATGATAACTTTATGTATGCTTTGTTAGAATTAAAATCATCATCATATTGGCCCTATATCATTCAAAGTATTTGACAAAAATACTCTCCTACAGCCTGGTAATATTTTCCCATATATGAATATATCAAGCGTCACATGCATTATACATATAGTGCTTTTTTTTTTTTTGGTTCTGTACTTGGAAAAAAGTTTCTGCAAGATCATGGGTGGTTCTGGTCACTATCTATTTCCTTAGCCAGTTCTCTTGTGAGATTGTCAGCACGATCATCATGTCCACCAGCAAATGTATAAACCCGAAATGCGAATTGGAAAGCCCTCCAAAGCAACTTTGCAAATTCTTTTCTTTTTCCATCATCAGTGTTTGATCCTGATTCTCTGTTAGCAGCATCATTGCGCCTTTCCTGCATTAAGTTTATGCATAATGCAAATAAAGTCAATCATTCCAAATTATCGATCCTCTGGTGGTTTGATAAAAAAAATATATATATATATAATTGTGTTGGTTTGTGACTGTTTTCTAACCTTGAGTGCCAACTCCATGCAATTAGAGGAAACATCCACCATTGCTTCTTTGATTTTTACAAGGATGTAAAAGTCAAATTCGATGTTGTGGCCCTTAAATTTCTTGGATTCTTCATCTTTGGTTCGCTCTACAGCATCTAATTCTGTTTTGATCTGCATGTTGCTCTTTTGGGTTAGAAATATATGTTATGTATATAAAGGAAATATCATCATTAAGGGGATAATTCATGTGAAGATTTTGGATCACCTTATTGAAATAACGCTCAACCTTGTCAAGGTGCTGACCCACAGGAGTCATTATATTCCAGTTTTGAAGCTCAGTAAGTATTGAATCCAACCTATGGTAGAGCGCTGCTGCCATTCTTGTAGCTTCTAACTTCTTCTTGGGGAAACCTTCAAAACGTGATAGCACCTACACAGCAACAGAATTTTATATCATGTTATTGAAAGAACCAACAATAATAGATGGTATTTTAATTCAAATGGACATGCATAAAGTTTCCAAACTCACCTGTGATTCATCAGTTAGATTCTCAAGTACTGAATCAACATCTTTATGGAACTTGATTAGTTCTGTCATTTCCTTTGTCTTGAAATTGGAAATAGCAGATCTCAGTTCTATGATCTGTTGTGTGTACTTTTGAACATCCTGTTCTATTTGTTGGAAGTAAGGTGATCTAGTAAAATGTGGGGAAACAAAATAAAAACAAAAGGAGTTGAGATAATTGGTTTCAAGACTTAAAACTAACCAAAAGTATTGAGCTAGTTGGGAGACATGCAGTGTTGTTTAAAAAGCATACCTTTTTTTCATCTCAGCTAGAGCATCAGCCATTCCTTGTTTTGCTCCAGTGCTTCCTGCTCCACCTGCACTGGTTCTCACACCACATGACTTGCCTTTAAGGCTTGATCCTTCCACTTTTCCCTTGAGAGTTCGATACAGGTTGCTCAATTGTGTTGACCTTTTCAGTTTAGTGGTTGCTTTGGACCGCAAGGATCTCCCAGCTCCAAGTGGAGGTGGTGGTGGGGCAGCAGCTCCCACCTGCACTGATTTTGGTGTGACAGGACAAGAGCTGCAAGGGAAGCTGCTATCTGAATTGGAGGAGGAGGAGCTTGATATAACTTTTCCAAACGAGCTTGGTCGTGGACTGAACTCTTTCTTTGGTTCATCTTCTTCCATGATATCAAACATCTCATTTGCAATCTTAATCAAACAATCAAGTGTGGCCAACATAGTTTCACCTTCAAAACAATTATTGACTCAAACTCTATTAAATTCAAGTGTGTGAGTCATTTGACAGAATTTCTGAATTCTGATTAACTATTTCACAAGGACAATAAAATTTTTGGTAACATACCTAGTTGCTTCATATTGGTGTTATCCTTGCATGATAGTAACTCAGAATTGCTGATGTTGTCCATTCTAAAATTGTTCATCATCCATGACTCTACAAGAGACTTCAAAGCCTCGCAGAAGTAGGCCAGACCCTAGTGGAGAACTGTCTACATTTAGTATTCTGGGAGACAAAGATTTCAGTAACAATCATAACTAGCAGCAGCCATCATTAGTTTTAAAAGATGAGTTTTTGGATTTTACCTGCTTGTTGCTTGAGCTTCCATTGTATTTTGGGTTCTTGAAGTATTTTTTGAATTTTCGCATAAGCATAATGATTTCTTTGTCATCATCTGAATCATCATTAACCTCCTTGCATTGAGCTTTTAGAGCTATACCTTTATCCTTTATTCTTACATCATCATTTGTGTGAGACTCTAGTTGCATCTCATAGGTCATGAGGGATTCTTCCAGTTGCTCTAAGCTGAAGGTTTTGAAATTCTTAATCTCTTGCAGGGCAGTGACTTTAGGCATCCAATCTTCTTTTGGAAGACTTCTTAGAATTTTTCTGACCTGTTCTTTAACTATGATTTACCTACCTAAGGCACTTAACTCATTTACAATACTAGTAAAGCGTGTAATCATATCTCTAATTGACTCTTTTGGTTTCATGGTAAATAATTCATATTGATGCATTAAGAGATCAATTTTGGATTGTTTTACCTCGTTTGGCTGATTTGCATCCCATAATTCGATTATGCTCATACGGTCCAAGTCCACAATGAAGGATTTTGATTGCTTGAGCATTAAATTCGAGCTTTTTCCAATCTTCATTCGTGTACTGATCCTCTGGTTTGATTTGGCAATTGTTTCTCCCTTGGTATCTCGAGTAGTGATTTCATAATCACCTCTCTTGATCACATTTCATAATCCTCTGGTTTGATTTGGCAATTTATTTCCATGCGATTCTTCCAATAGCGGTAGAATTTCCTATCAATCAGAATCTAACCAGAAATCTTTTACCCTTGAATGAAATTTTAAATGCAATTTTCAAAATTAAGATTTTTGATATTTTTTTCAAACAAAAAATATGTAAACGCTAAATATCTTAATCTATTATAAAATGCAATTCTAATCTTTGACAAATAATATTTTATTTCTCTTACATGAAATATAAAAAGATAAAATATATCCTAAATTCCATGTTTTTCTCTCTCTTTATGATATCTTTCATATCTTCTCAAATCTTTATGCAATCTTCAATTATCTTGAATACTAATTCAAATCAGAATAAATATGATTCTGAAATCTCAAACAATCAACTCATTAGTAATTTCAAGGCAATAAAATATTATCAATTAAATTAACATTAAATTGATTGTAATTATCAAAATATATTTTAAATCAATTAAACAATTGAGGTATAACAAATATCCAACATCATTGACTGCATATGTGATTAAATGTTAACAATTACAAAACAAACGGGAATTGCTTTGTTAAAAGCAATGTTATTAAAACCGGCTCAATCATTGACCCGGTCGAGGTACTGGGTCACTGGATTACTGGTTCAACCATTGGGTCACTGGTTCAACCGCATGACCCGGTAATTATATGCAATTTTATAATTTATATTAAAAAATTATAAACATACTCAAATATCTAAAAAAATGACAAAAAATTTAAATATTTTAATATAAAAAATAATAAATCACATATTGTTATACAATAAAGAATCAAACAAAAATATAATGATCGTGATACGAGACTTTAGGTTCAGAAAACGACATCTTTAACTATAAATCAAATCAAAATTTTCTGCATAGTGTATAATTGAGATAATATTAGTGTTGTAGGTATATAACTTATGTAAGTCAATAAGTAAAAAAATATTCAAATATGTCCATTATAATTTTTTTTTTGAAAAAAAAAATTTGGAATTTTTTTTTCGTTGGATCAGGCCGGGTCACCGGTTTTCATGAAAATCGGCCGGGTCGCACCGATGCTGATGCATGGCCGATCCGTTGCTTTAACCAGACCGATTATATACTAGTTTATCGATTCTCGAATCGATCCAACCTGGTCGGTCCGATTTTATTAACATTCGTCAAAGTATGAAAATACCAACATAATATTGCAGCCTCATGTCCATAATAGATGTTGAAACAAAAAAGGGTCAGAGAAAAAAGAAAGGTCAGAATCTTGCCTCACTAGCATATGACTTTCGTCGAGAGACCAATGGCTTCAAACCGCATAATCTTACTGTAGCCATGTCTTAATTGCTTATGTTAACTGAAAACTCTGGAATAAAAAGAAAAATCATGATGTGCCTACCACAACTTCACAAAACGCGTACGTGCATTATGATATGTTCAGCTTAAAGTGAAAAATCCACAAAAGATATTTAAAAAAATTATATAGAGTAATTTACTAGAGAAACGTTCAATCCTTTGTTGGGAAGAAATAAAAAAAATAAAAAAAGTGGAAAAGTGAATATTCAAATTGGGTCTACACCTAAAATTGAGAAACGCGTACATGCATGCTTGACAATTTTTTTCCCCCGCATTCTTGCACACCTTAAATTGTTCCAACTTATTATGAACTAATTCGTTATAACACCACTTTTTCAGTACCTAAAAATAGAAATTGATTTGGGTTCGAAATAAGAACATTTCCATTGACCAACTAAATAGTTTGGCTTGATAAGCAACAAATTGCAAAAATGAGTTTGATAAGTCTCTAGATCTTTTTATTTATACAATCTTCAGATAATATATTCTCACCAATTGGATGTACGACTCGGGTCTATATGACATGACTGATCAATAAAAATATTCTAACACTCCACCTTTGTCATATATTTCATACATCACACTAGATAAATATCATATTCATAGAATACGATTCACTTTCAAAATGCCTTGGTGGTGAAATAGTAGATATGCGAGGCTCAAAATCTCGTGCTACAGAGCGTGGAGATTCGAGTCATCTTCAAGGCATAATATTGAGATCTGTTATTGAATTGGAATAAGTTTGACAACGGATCACAAAATCTTCGTGATCAGTGGCCAGGTTGAAGCGTTCAACGGTACTTCGGCCTACCACCTTTCTTTTTCAAGTGAATGAATAAAGGGATAGAGTTTGGTAGCTCCAATTATAATTACAAGGGAAACAAAAAACAACAGCTTTCATTTTGAATTTTAATGATTATCCCATCTAATTTGTATGATTTCATCACTCTGCATTTAATTTTCAATAGTTTATATTAAAATTGATCTCGCGTCTCGTTTTAAGGATGAATTTGGCATTTTAAAGATATCATGTTGATATTTACAGAAAAGAAAAATATGTAAAGTATACATTCGTTATAAAATTTATGTAATGGAGAAAGACAAAAACAATCCGATTTTGGTATTCTAAGGATTTTATTAACAAGTATCATAAGGTACTCTTTAAACAACTATAATAGAAAATTGTTGAAATGATACAAGACTAATTTGATATAAAAGTGAAAACTGCATTCTGCCATGACAAACTGAAGTATTCATAAACTCCATTTAGAGTAAGTACTTCTTTTATATACTACACCACTGTTTTTTTATTAAATTAAATACGACTTTTTAGCTTCTAAAATAAATTTGTATCATTGTCGTTAGAGTTATGAAAAAAGGAAAACAGAGTAAACAAGTTCCCTGTCTGTCTCTTACAATAAAATCAATTTCATTCACGAGTCACGCACATTCAGCTATATTCTAAAAACGTATGATGTCAACTGGGCTGGGCTTTAAGCCGTTCAGTTTAGCCCATGAAACTCCTCATTAGAGATTTGGACATTTCAGAAACAAAAAGCAGAAAGAATTCCACTCCACTCAGAAGTCAGAACAGAAAAACAAACTCCACAGAAAAACAAACTCTTAGGGGGCGTTTGGTACGCGGGATTTTGAGGGATTCCCGGAAAACTGAATTTTTCTAAATTTTAAATTTTCAGGTATTATCGTAAACTGAACGTGAAAATCATATTTTTGAAAATTGAGATTCCTGGACAAATAAAAATTTCTCTTGTACCAAACGCCCCCTAAGGGTTTGATACATTACAGAGAACAAACAATGCTGGGATATACTATTCCACACAACCTATTCAACTTGAACCTTTATTTATCCAATAAAATCTATTGACAACTTTTAAACTACAATTTTCAACCGTGAAGAACCCATAGATATTCAACCGTGAATCAAAAATAAATCTATACTTTGAGTGACTAGGAGTCTGAATAAATCCAATGGCCAAGTTTATAGGAAATGAAATTATTCATTTCAATTTAATCAAGGGTTATTTAAATACACTTATAGGAGCTTCCTGCATGCACATTGAACTGAATGAACATAATGCTGACAAGTTTTGCTAAATTCCCCTGACCTTGACAGAACTGATTCTGTTTGTCTCTTTTACGGATTGAGTCTTATTATTGTCACTTTTACCTTCATTTTGGTCTTTCTTTGGCACTGCTCTAGCAAGGCCAAAGGATGCAGTTCTTTCAGCAATTCTTCTCTGGCGTTCAATTAGCTGTTCTTCCATCTTCTTCCTAATTTCATCTTCCTGTTTACCAGCATAGATCATTTGGAGTTAGGAGTCTACTAAATGTTATGAGCATTGCTGTGGGTGTGCAATTCAAAACATCAAAACATAACAATGCAACTTTAAAATTGAAAATTCACTATACCTTTTCCCGTTTGCTCTTCTGAACTATTGGCCTACTTGAGAGTGATGGTTTTTTGTTTCTAGACATTATTTCAGACTTTCCCTTTGCAGGGGATCCACGCAAAGCTTTTGACTTTTCTTCTTTTTCAGAATTTCTTGTTCCTGAAACTTTGCTTTTGTTCATGTTGGTTTTCTTAGGACTACCGGGATGGTTGTTATTCACTTTATCATGTGAATCATCAAGAGAGGATCTTCTATCAGTTTCTGAGAAAGAAAAGTCAATTTCATAGTCCATATTCCATGAGGCCTCAACAGAATTTAGTCCCGAATCCCGTTGTAGAACTACACAGAGGTCATTTGGCTCCTGATTCTTTGATAATGCATGCTTCTCATTTGAAGCAGCCGTGTCACTTTCCAACTTGTTGGCACAAGTTAGATCTTCAACCATACTTATGTCAGTCTTCCATTGTGAGTCAGAAAGATTATTATCAACCAATTGACCCTGTATCATGAAGGAATCATCAATCAGAGTTCCTACACCTCTTTTTTCAGCATGGGAGAAATCATTCATTGATGATAAAGTGTAATCACCATCAAACACTGTAGGCACAACCGGGGGTTCAGGGCTCCTCATCTTTTCCAAATTATCAACAATAAACCAATCTTCTGCTGTTCTTCCCTTGGTTTCTAATGAATCAGCTACAAATGTAGATAGTGGATCACCAAGTTCATTTCCTGGTTCTTTCGATCTATGTGATAACAGTACTTCTTCACTCATATGGTCCCTGCACTTTGTAACTGGAACACGGCTGTCTACATACTCATCCATCTTGGATCCTCTTTCATTTCCTCCATCTCTATGAGTCACAATAAAGGAGTCATTTGGAACTTTATGATTCTTCATAACTTCTTTGAAATCCAAGTTTGGAGATGAACCAGCAGCATATGGCATTCTTTCTTCAGAGTTTCTCACCACAAAATGTTCATCCTGGACATCAATTGGCTGCATCTTTTCTGATCTATCATTTCCGGTCTCCTCATCTATCTTCAAAAGGTTCTGGAATGCATCCCAGTTCTCGTTTTTGTTCCCTCCTTCGGATGCATCACTCGAGTTTTCAGTGAGATCCTGTTCAGTAGCATCGCTTGATTTAGTTACCCTGCGCCGGGCAACTGCTTTTTTTCCATTAGAACGTTTCTCAACTTTCCGGACCTTTTGCAATGATTCAAGTGCAACACCAACCTTCTGCTTGATGGCTTCTTCATTTATGACATCATCATCTTCTAATGAAGATTCATCAGAGACTCCACCCTCATTTCCATTTCTCCTTTTTGGAGTGATGTAGTTGATATTACGAATCACAACTGTTCCAGATGACTTTCTTCTGTGCTTTTTCCTCTTCAGATCATCCTTCAAAGAATGATTTGTGTCCTTCTGTTTATCTGAATTAGACTCACTCCCGGAATCAGGGTCACTTGACTCTGTCTGCTGGTCTTCATATTCTTCTTGTCCTTTCTTATAAAGAGATTTCTCCTTTTTGGTTGCAGATGGTTTCTGATTCATTCCCTGGTTAGAAGACCATTGCATGTTTCTTACAAGGTAAGGAGGAACAGACTGCATATTAGTCATAGGATATCCTTGGTATGAAGGCATTTGTTGAATAGGATTTTGAAGATTATACATATATGGAGGTACATTGTAAGGCCAGGGCATTGGCATATGAACATTTCTCTGATCTGGTGTATGCAAGTTCACATCTGCACATGACAATTCTTGAGATTAAATAACCCTTGCATCTAGAAGCAAAAAATTCGTATCCTGCTCTCTTTGATATGACATGATTACATCCAAAAGATATAATTAAGGTTTGTATGAATTTCTGATATTCTAAATAGCGTTGATTTAGGCTGCATTTTGAATGCTGCATAAGATTATAATGATTCAATCTTGATGCTTTTTGCGAAGGAAGAGTTGCATCCAAACTTCAGTCCCAAGCACTTTCACCCAAAAGGGAGTTTTAGAAATTAAAAAACATTAATGGGCCAGCATCTAACAGTTTAAACTTGAAAGTGAAAATAGGTCCTTAACATTAACTAACTTGCTTGTAGCAAGGTTGGCAAGTCTTACATATGGTATGATCTTTTCTCATTTCAATGAGTCCAGACTCGAAAATCCACAAAATCATTCTCATCATTTCTTATTTTTGTCCTCTTTCCTTTCCAGACTTCCATTTTCCCTTCCTAAACTTATTTTGCATTTTTTAAGCAATTTTGTAGCATTTAACAGGTTGATTTAACATAAATTTGTAGAAAGTGGGTCAACCTACAGTGCGCAGGGTGACAATACAACAATAGAAATAAAAAGTTACAAATTTTTGTTGTTTAAACCAAGAAAAGATAGCAGACAAGACAAAGAAGCATAGAATGCATATGATTGATTATTTGGTTTGGTAATGATAATTTTCTATAACAAATTGAGAGATTTTATCTGGATGCCAAAAGTTTATATATTTTCCAAATTACATAATATAATTAAGGTAAAGGAAAAGGAAACAACAATAAAAGAATACCTTCTTTTTTGTTTGAAGTATCAGAATTTGATGTTGGCTGAAATAAATTTTCGTCACCAGAAGGAATACTGTCCTTAGAGCTATTATTCTTGTTATTCTGGTCATCGGTTGTTATATCATTTGCTAGTATAATTCCTGATGTTCCAGAAAATGAGAGTGCCGGTGGTAAGCATGACTGCATTGCTGCTACTTCTTTGATCCAAAGATCATCTGCATGCTTTTTCTTCCATAGTTCCTTAAAATTAATGCAGGCTTCCCTGCATACATTGAATATCATGACTTAGAATTGGTTTCAAAACTGAACTGGAGGTTTTATGTCAATGAGGCAACAAGATCCACCAGTCCACAGATATAGGATACAAGTTTTAAACCATGTAGCAGATCGCTTTGTAAGAAATTAGTTCTTTTGTATGGAAAGCTTGACATGCAGGATGACATTCAGAGTTCAAAGGAAACAAAAAAATTCAAATGAATAGGTCCTCATGATCCTTAGATTTGCAAGGAATAAGGGGACTGACATCAAAAGGCAGTTGAACCTCCATAGCAAAAAGAGGTATCCCCTTAAGACAAGTGAAATTTCATGATCTACAAAGTAGGGTCAATTGTCAAAATAGTTTTTCAGGAAAAGAAAGGGAAAGCATTTAGAAAAAAAAAAATAAAATAATTACTTTCTGAAAACTGGCAGGAAGAATATAAGCATATAAGAATCTCATTTTTTGTTAATAATTCACATAATCTTCTGATTAAATAACGTTAACATTATAAGTAAGAATTGATTATAGTTTCCATTTTACGGTTTACAAGTAAGAACTTGTTAGTTGTATCTTTCCATTTCATACCTTAAACGCAATGCTCCAAATGCATTTGCAAAATATATGAGATTATCAATATTGTCAATCTCAAAACCAGCTACAAGACCACGTGTATAAGCCATTGCTTGCTCTTTCCGGAGCAGTGCTATTCGAGACTCCAACAGACGTTGCAGGGAGATCCTAATCATTAGAGCCATTGAATGTGTTAGGAATAGTTTCTAATGAATTAGCAAAACAAAGGAGACTACATTTCATCAACAGAAACCATTGAAGAGTTAGAAAGTAGTTACTTTGAGTTTTCCACTTCTTTATTGTCAACACCTTCAAGTACATCATTTAACTGAAGCAACCGCAAAATATAAATTAATAAAAAATTTGAGAGATTATCAAGAAATTCTGACATTCTTTTAAGAAGTAAAATACCTTTGCAGAATCACTTAACCTCCTTGTGTTGCCATTGGTTTGTGCTATGATTCCTGATACACGATGGAATTTCAGTAGAAAACTAGCCTCACTTAAGCAGCTCATGATTAGGGGAAGGAATATTATACAAAATAATGAAAATATCACTCCATTCATTAATATGTAATAAGACTTAATAAACTTTTTCTAGGAATTTAATTCTAGCACCTAATACTAAGCAATTCATCCAGAAATATCCTCAAAACATGTTTAAGTTGCAGCTTCTAGCCTACCTTCTTCATCCGGAGTTGCAGTGGACATTAATAATGCATTAGCTTGAAATGAACTTTCAATCTGCAGGATTTCTTTTTCAATGCTAACAAACCTCTCCAGAACAGCAGGTGTGCTAACAAAGCGCACAAATCTGTAAATTAACACCCCCAAAAAAAAAATTTAAATAAAAAAGTAAAAATTATAACAAAAAAACAGAAAAGAGAGAAGACAAAAGAAAAATGAAGAGAGCAAAATCAGCTCCAAAGAACAAATGAATAACCACTAAGAAGCCAAAAGATGAAGTAAAAATTGCCAAAAGTAATTCACCAAAGTGGCAATCACCTCTCAAACGTGGCCTTGGAGAACCAGAACGCAGCGTTCGTGGGAGGCAGAAGCTTAATTGAGTATCCACCTTTAGAGATCTCATCTTTGACAAACTTGAGGTGAGAAACGAAAGGTTCGAATAACCCAGAAGCTATTTTTTGATGAAGAGTTCCAGAAAAGACTAACAGCTCACATCTACAAAATTATCAAACACAGAGGCAAAACAACAACACCCAAGTTTGAAAAGCATAATCTTTTGAGAAGGAAACAAGGAAAACAGAACATACAACAATCTGGGGGGTGTGGCTCACCTGGTCCTGGTTGGGGTGAGTTGAAACAAAGCATAATCCAGAATGGCCTTGGAATCCATGCCAAGCAAGCAGAGTGTCAGAGCATTATCTTCACTCTGTATGAAGGAATGGTCTCTTAACGTTGTTGTAAACAACGATATAGTTTGTTATGGTGAAGTAGTACAATGTGAAACTTCAGAACATGCCTGACACAGTGCCATGTGTAAGGTGGATATGTGAAAGAAAGTGCCAGCAGGGACATGCAGCATCTCACATGGAGTGTGAACTGGGACATTATTATTAATGTTATTATAGGATTTCAACGCTAAGGCCACATGCAATAGTGACAGCTTCTTTTGTCTACGTATCCAACACCTTGGCCTTGTCTACGTGCAATCTATAGTAAAAAAAAAGAAAATAAAAAAAAATAAAAATAGAAAGTTATATTTACAAATTTTTTATTTACAAACTCTTATAAATTATATTATGTGTGTCATACTTTCTATGACCTATGAGAGTTAGTATAATTTATAAAAAAAAATTGTAAATAGATTTTTTTTCTCAAGATAAATATTATTTTGAGGGGTAAACTTTTGTCTTAATGACGGCAGGTGAAAGAACGCAAGGAGTGTGATTATAGGCTACTTTTGCTCATGACTTTGTTTAACCTTTAATTTCTGGGCCACAACCAACCACAAGTAAGTTTTCAAGAGTTTAATAATATTTCATAAAAGACATTGGAAGCTTTCTCCGGTGTTTGGTTGGTCACCAGTTGTCTTGCAAAAGTGGATCATTAATTATTGGTCATATCATGTTGGAAAATAATATGTTCGTTACATTACGGGCAAATAACTTACATTATATGATTTAGTGGGTTATCTTATAACAAATTTTAAATGCATTTTCTACGTTTTATCGTTAGTGTTTTTATTAAGAGGACAATGTTTGTGCTAAAAGTTAAGACACTTACCAATGGAAGATTGAGAGTAATATACATCTTATTTTAATTTTCATCCTTTCTTATGAAAAATCCAAAAAACAAAATTAAGGATCTTTTTACGCAACTCCCTTCTTTGTACTTTTTTACTTTTGTATTATTAACGTATATTTAAAATCATAAGAATTTAAAGGGGGAAAAACATAAATCTGATTGTATAGACCATAATCATTATGACGATAGCCAGCTGTTTATCAATAGGAGTAATTGTTTAGTTAGTCATATATTTAGTATTTAAAATTTTTATAAAGTTTTGAAAAGGACAAAATTAATAATTGTTTGTTTTGGATTTATTTTAGTTTTGCAATACCAGTGGTGCTAAGTATTTGCTATTATTGCTTGATCATTTCATTTATGTGTTTTATATAATGAATGTAATTATTGCGATACCAACTACAGAGGATTGGCTTATATATTCAGTGAACTTTTATTATTTTTATTTATGGCAAATGCAAGATTTGTTCTATTTTTCAAATAAAAATATATATAAAAACCTTTTATATAAATTTATGTTAAATAACAGTATTGCAATAGCATTATATCTATGACAAATGCGGGATCTGTTATATTTTTGAAATAAGAATATATAAATGGGATATTTTTTTTCTGCAACAGTTTCTACATCTGGCACAAAAAAGTGAATCCCACTGTTTTTCTTAGAGAGAAAAAAAATTCAAGATACAGAACTGTATACAGCGAGTGCAGAAATAATTTTGTCATATATAAAACTCTTTTTCTATAAGTTTTTGTTAGAAAACAGTATTGCAATATCATTATATCTATGACAAATTGCTTACAATATTAATACATGCCATGTAAGGGAGAAAAAAACAAAAGAATAGTCATGTAAAAGATTAAAGCCCGCGACTTCTGGCTAGTAATCACCTTAAAAGTAAATATAGGTGAAGTTAGTGTCCTTTTGGGCAGGATGTCCGATCATGGCTGTATATTTTGATAGAACTAATTTTTCGATTTAATTTAATTATAACCTAGTTAATGATTAATGAAAATTGAGTGGACTTAAGATTTATATACAAATTATAAATTTAAAAAATATATCAATAAACTCAAAAATCTAAAAAGTAAAAAAAAAAAAGAGAGTAATATATCAATAAACTCAAAAATTGAGTGGACTCTCGATCATGACTGTATATTTTGGGACGGAAATCATGATATTTTTGTAATTTTAATTTATTTAAGGGTTATAATAGTCATTTTTATTCTATTTTTTTAATTTTTCAACCCTAAAACGACGTCATTTCGATGAACATTAGATAAAGTTATCTAAAGTAACATTAGATACTTTTTTCCATAATAAATATTTTAAATAAATTGTATCAATATAAGAATGTCATCCTACATAAAATATCAAATTCAAGTCAAAAAAATCATATATTTATGTTTTAAAAAAATATAAATTTTAAAATATTAAATAGTATTAAGTCAGATCGAACCTACTCAAATTAATTATGATTCAATTACAATCTAAAAGTATTTTTTTTTCAAATTCACAATTCGAAACAAATTATCCCTGAAACAATAAGTCGGGTTATCAAGCTTAATTAATAACTTCCATGTGAAATTCATCACTCAATACTTGTGGTCTAAAAGATGGGAAGAAATTTTTATAATTGCAAAATTATAAATTTCATAAATTATTAACTATTTGATTAGTTAAAAAATCTTAATTAATTGTAATATTACTCCAGAGAATATAAAAGCTGCTAAAAAAATTGTAAAACCGCCAATATATAATATGATTCTGATGAATAAAATACAGGGGTAGATCTGAAGCCAACTATGAAACAGCTGTATAGCTCACTTTAGCTGGAAAAAGCAATGTTATGCATGTGTGGGGTTCTCTGAGATGTGTGATTGCTAATGTATATTGAGCAGCTTCTTAAAGAAGACGACAAATCTCTTATGCAAGTTGACGATGCCGTGATTCAAATGTGCGGCCAAAATATTTTTCCCCAACACTTATTTTCATAGGGATATAATTATTGAAACATGCACATATATATTTGTTTTGGATACCCCAACCCAACCAATTGGCCTATTAAGAGAGGCTCAATTTTCCTCCACTTATTCACATCAGTTCTGCTTATCAGAATTTATCAACCCTCCCTTCTCTTTGTTCCCACGTGATAATTTTTCTAACGTAAGACACCAAAATATTCTATATTGGGATCTACCTCTCTTGAGTAGCCCTCCTAGATCTCTTAAATAGGTGTTTTCTCTTCACATTTACAGCAACAATGACTGCCACCAGCATAGCAGGAATCGCAAAGGTGTTGCAGTAGCAATGTCAAATGTCCGTGACACTTCCCAATGAGAGTTGATTTGGCTCGTCTTCCCATGCGAGCAAGACACTCTCTTTTCCTATAAATAACCCCTCTATCACCAAGCAAGGCATCTATACTGACCTTTACCCCTTCCAATAGTTCATATTGGGCTTGTAACTCTCATCGATATAATATTCATATTACAACATGTGTAAAATGCAATTTTTGCTTTATTTCTAACAAAAGATACTCTTGGAGTTCAAGTAATAAAACCAGCAACGCCTACTTTAATATAAAAATGCTTGGTGTGTATTCTAGAAAATTATTTACTTTTCTCTCAAATGAAAGAAAACTAGTAAAATGACAATCATAAAGGTCCCATATGATTTTTTTTTAATGTAAGAGAGTTAATGGTGAGAAGTAGGGGTGTAAATGGGCTGGGCTGGGCTGGGCTTTGGTCATCCTGGCCCAAGCCTACGTAAAAAAAAATCTAGCCTATCTGGCCTACTGGCCTATTAAAGGCTTTATTTGTAGGCCAAACCCGGCCCATTTTCAAAAATAAGAAAGCCTGACATGGCCTACAGGCCTTGTAGGCTTCCCACTATATATACTAAGCAAAAAAAATAAATTGTATAGAGCAAAAAAAGTTTCATTCATCCATGCACTAGTACTTCTCATAAGAAAAAGATGACAAACAAGAAAGAGTCAACATAATACCTCAGCTCTAGAAATCATAGAGGAATAAAGTCAAAGAAATGAGAAAAATAAGAAAAATACAATTACTGGATGCTGAAATAAAGTCTACAAGAGAATGTCATTTATTTAAAAATCTTTAAACCACCATCAAGACAAGGGAAAGAAGAGTATTATTGAAAGATCTTCATCAGTAACATCATAATCCAGCAAGGTACCCATTGCTCCATGGTATTAAGTTGCAACAGCATGTAAAATTTGGAGACATTAGACAAGTTTTTCTTTCATAAAATAAAATAGCACAAAAAGTAAGAGATATTGGTATTTAGTACTTTGTGTCTTTGCCACATAAAATAAATATTATTTTATTATTTTATTTTCATAAATTAAATAGGCCAGCCTACAAGGCTGTAGGCCGGGCTTGACAAAATTGGCCTATGGCCTATTTATTAAAAAAGTTTTTTTATAAGCATAAGCCTACTCTACTTTTCTGAAAGGCCGAGCCTGGGTTGGGATTAATGTAGGCTGGGCTGGGCCAGCCTGGCCCATTTACACCCCTAGTGAGAAGATGTTTTTCTCGTTTTTAAGATTAGAACAAATTACTTGTTTTAGCAAAAAAAAAAAATTACAATAATATTATAGATTACTTATTGGCAAAAGTCATATAACCCAAACTAAAATCATATAATTATTACAAATGGAGAGTCACCCAAAATAAATCAACTTCCTTCCACAAAATTCACGTGTGATCAACTCGAGATTTACATGTAGTTAAAATTTTGAGGGGGCTTGTTAATGGCTGTTTGACCCATTTAGGCTCAATGCACCTGAAAATTCCCTTAATAAGATGGTTGGGAAAATATTTCTCAATAGCACCTTTTCTGAAACAATTAAATTTGGTTTAAAATTAAGAGAAAAGTTATACATACTACCAATTTTTTTACTACATGTTACTACCAAATCTTGACCGTTGATTTTCGTCAATCTAACGGTTATAATTTATTACAAATTAATAATTAATTAATAAGTATGACCCCCATAAATTATAACCATTAAATCGACGGAAATCAACGGTTAAGATTTAGTAGTAACAGGTAGTAAGAAAAATAAGTAGTAAGTATAACCTCTTCCTAAAAATAATATTTAAGTTTCGAACA